CATGTATTTTGGGTCACTTAAATAATTAGGGATACATCCATAGCTTCTGAAGTCATGTGCTCTCCAGTGAACAGTGCCAGGAGCTTGGAGCTGGTGCAGGTGTAGAGTGTGTGGATCAGTAGATCACACGTTGAAACCTCAGAGGGGAAGTCAGGCCACTTTGGTCCTAAAAGTTCATCAGTATAAACAGTACCATACAAACAGTTTCACACGCAGACACTATCACCACAGCACAGTGCAAGCTCTGGCACTGGTCATGGGGAGGAGGCATGACCACATCCACAGGTATGAGTGGATCCTCCTTTACTGTGACATAGCCAGTACAAATAAGAATCAAGTTCGTGGAGATGCAAACCCACACACATATAAAAAGTTACACAGTAAGGCTTTATGATGCAATTTGTTGTATATTGTAACTGTCAGTCATTTTGTGATATTATTATTATAGAATTGCTAAATCATTGCTAATAAATAGTTTTGGCCATGATCACGGTGACACATTTCATTGTCCCATGCCTAAAGTCTGTGGTGTGTGTGTCCAGGCCACACCGAAACAACCAGCTGAGAGCATGAGGCACTAGTATGTTAAAGATGGACGAGGTCACATGGGCACAGGGGGAGGCAGTGATTGGTTGGTTTGGTTGGTCAGGTGACTGGAAGGGTTATGGACAGTCGAGTAGTCAGATCACAGGATGAGGGTTTGCAGCTATAACGTCAGGAGGTTCCATCCAAATGTATGGAAGCCCGACAGGTTTTAGCTTGTGGTGAAGACTAGACAGAACACCCACCCAGCCCGACACACACACAGGCACACACACACACACACACACACACACACACACACACACACACACACACACACACACACACACACACACACACACACACACACACACACACACGCACACAACCACACAAACACACAAACACACACATCTATACCCAACACATAATCACTATTTGGCTCCAGCTTACCATACCTATCTGGACTCCTCGCTGTCTTTATGGTAAATGCTTTTGGTCTCTGTAAGGACTGGGTGGAGTAAGTAAACCCCCTTCAGTCACAACACACACACACACACACATACACACATACACACATACATACACACACACCCACACACACACACACACATACAGAATGAATAGGTTTGCATAGACAGTCATTCGGTCGCAGAACATGCAGCGTGGAACCTCCCCACACGTGTTACTGTGAAGATGCGGAGTGTGGTGAAATGTGAAGAATAAGACAACAGAAGACAGGTGATGCTAAAATGAACATTTATAATGACTGCTGTTGCTTTTGCAAACGAATCCTTAAAAAACTCAGATATAGATATATTAGCACTAGATTGCCCACTTCACTGGTAATCCACAAGTCAAGAAACACAACTCACTAGGTATTTTTCTCTTTACAAACACAATGCTACAGTTACATTAAATAGTCAATACTTTATGATGCTGTTAAAAGCAACCACTATAATACTACAAATGAAACAAAACAATGATAATATCCATTCACTTTTCCAGTCGATCCCTTTTTCTTTTGCGGTATTTATTGATAGCATAAGAATAAATAGCGGACGTGGTGTTGCCGAGGCGATGGGGCAGGCAGCATAAGCCTAAGAGTGGAGCTCACAGCGATGGAATGGCACTGGCTATCCAATACTAGTCAGATCTGTGGAGGGGCGACATGGAAGTATGCTGATCGATGCAGGTTTTGGATGCAGGACTGCAGATGTAAACGAGGGCTGGACTCTGCACTCCCTCACAATGATATGTGTCTAAAATGGCATCTAGGTTCCACTATAGCGGACATCCACACACTCCAGACTCATGGACAGCTACAGCTCTAGCACATGGATGAGGTCAGAAGACTACATGCGAATAGGACACAAGCGTCCACCGTCATGCGTATGCTGCCGGCACCAGCGCTCCACACATCTGTCTGTACAGCAAAACTGACCGAGTATTTACAACCAGAGCGAGATGAAACTGCCAACAGTTGATCTTTCTTTTTTTTTTTCAACTGTATATTTTTTCTCTTCTTAGTTTTTTGTTCTTTTGTGACTCTTTTGCTATAGTTATTCCCAATGTTAAGCAACAAACATAAAGTATCCAATCATGGCTAGCATTGCACAGTCTCAGAGGTTTGGGGATGGAATGGAGAGTTACTGTTCCAAGCAGTTGGATGAACACACAGGGGACGGAAGAGGAAGGTCAATAAAGTTTATGAAAGGGTGAAAGTTCAAAGTTCAAGAAGACGGATGGCAGCTCCGCTTCACATAGCCTCGCTGTGTGTTGATGTTAAACAAAAAAGAAAAACAAATACATAGAGTTTGAAATGGACTTTTAAAAAATCTTTCCCACCACAGAAAGTCAAATGGAGCTAAAGCAGAAGGAGACAGTAGAGAGGCGGTGTGGGGGTGAGCAGTGAGGACCCCGGCACACTATGGCACAATAATGAGCCCACACCAGATGAGGGTTAGAGAAGCGGCTGGCATGAGCGGAGCTGAGGGGCAGTCCAGAGCCAGCCTGCCTGGGTTAATCCTGCTGGGTGAGGAGGAAGAGGAGGAGGAGGTGGTGGTGGGGGCAAGGTGCTGTTTAAAGTACATGAGCAACATCATGTTATGAGCATGCTGGCTTCATGGGTGCTTCCAGGAGGGATGGGTGTCCCATAGACAGAACAAGGCTCGGGCGTGTCCTTGTAGTCACTGAGGGCGGAGCCTCTCGGGGGTTTGGCACAGGTTTGGAGAGAGGACACTCATGAGGGGTGGGACAGGGCAGTGAAAGTGCAAAAGGAGAGGGCATGGACAGAGAAAGTGGGTGTGCGGGGACTAGGAGGTAAACAGGCTACACACACAAATGGCATTTTGTTAAACTGCTCTATGTTCAGACAAAGCATACAGTACAAATTAAACCAGGAAAATACAGTGAACAGGAAAAAGAAGCAGAACAGTGGTATGACGATGCAGTCTACAGCTGCTGGTGCTACGATGAAGGCCCACGACACTGGGTATGGACAGCCCACGCCCACAGGAAGTACTGCAGGTGGGATGAGTGGGGGCGACGGAGGCGACTGGGGGCAGCGTCTGCTGGGGTGGGCCCCTCACCAATGCTGCTTTTGACCCTGTGCATCTTCACAGAACTAGCCCTCCCCCTACAGCCCTGAACAACCCACTCCCCACGCGAATACATGGACGGACGAAAGTTTGTCCTGAATATAAGTGGAGGTACTCACTGTTATGTAACATGTAAACACTTGAGTTATTTGTTCTGATCGAGTGCAGTTGGACTGAGATACTAGCGTACTGGAGTAGCCACATTTGTCTCGGGTTAGGGCTGTAGTGACCCTCCTGTCCACCTGGTGTAGTCATGTCATACTACAACACCAAACAACGGCAAAACAAGTCGCGCCCCCCAGCCGCCTGTGCACTCGCCGCTGCCTTTAGTGGTCTGCACACGCATGTGTGGGGACTGGAGTTAGCAACAGGGCCTTTACAAAAACTCACTAAGACGTAGCAAAATATCCTTTGTTCCACAGTTTTGTTCATATCTTTTATGGTCACAATAAACATGAGATGAAAAGCATTTGTTGGCATGTAAAACTATCCAAATGCTGGAGCCTCTACACATGCTAAATGAAGGACACACACTTTGTTAGCTTGTTTCTTTTCACGCTTCACTTGGATTTCATGCAATATTAACGTGCAAAAAAGATAACATCTATGTCACAAAATACATTTTATTATTACTATAAAAGGCTGTAATAATTCTATCTAGTCACATTTTATGTAGCATTAGTATGCTAACCTATTACTATGCTAATTGTCCTAGCCCCAGAGAGTGGTGCTGTTCCATGTCGACACTGCAGGATCCAGAGGAGCGGCCAACCCTGGACTTTGCTAATGCCGTTTGTCCGCTATGCTTCGGGAATCGTGGGAGCGCTCAGGGTACAACGCTCTAGAACTAGACATGCTCATTTGGCACTTTTCACATTTTCATCTTTATAAAAGTAAGTCTTCTCTTATCTAACGCGCATGAAACCAATATGTTCGTTTGGCACAAATAGACTTATAAAACTAGCAGTTTAGACCAGCCTCTGCAGCTAATGATAAGTCGATATGTTTTACTCAGAAATGTTAGTACAACAGGTTTTATCAAATAGCAGCATTTTTACAGATGAGAATGGACTTGTAAACCGCAGCTCACACGGCTTGCGCAGACATGGACAGCACAGGTATTGCTTTGTACTCGTCACATGATACTGGTAATATGCACCGAGCTCCACAGCGCTGGCTCCGACCTACACATTCAACTATACATTCTTCACTGATAATTACTGTCACTTAATGCTCCCATGTTTTAAACGACCTGTTTTCAGATTTAAGCTCCACCATAGTTGTGGGCCTCCTCTGGAGCACAGGGGTTTAGAGTGGGACCTGAGGACCAGCTAAAGTCCTGCAGCTCCTCAGCAGCTCCTCAGATCTGCTCTGTTCATTGGTCTGGCTCCTCACAGACGTGGTGCATGTGTGCCCAGCAGAGGAGGCACTGCCCTTCAGCTGCTGCCCTGACAGAGTCACCCATGGAGTGATGAAGGAGGTGTTAGGATGGGAGTGCTCGGAGGAGGTGGCTGAGGAGAGGGTGGATGTTGGATGGTGTAAAGAAGCCTCCTTCTCAAGCTGTGGACAAACGCCTGTGTGGTGCTACAGCACTCAGCGCGTTTGGCCAATAAGAATAGGACATGTGATATGCTTCTCTTGTCTATAGGTTAGAGGCGATCTGTAGCATTTCTGTTAGGAATTCCCTTTAGGATATGCACACTGACAACTGGATAATTTGAAAAAAAAAACAAAAAAAAAACGGCTGATATGTGTTTGAAATGTAGGTTTAGTATCTGCCTTGCACTGTAAACCAACCCACATCCCATGTACAATCGTTACAAGAGCAGGCGGACAGGTGACCTCTTCCTGGGCCTAGTCACTGAAACACACACACATATTACACAGATCCCTGCCATACAAGCCAACAGTCACCACGCTGCGGACTCCTGCCTCACAGGCTTCACAGTGCATTAAGACAACAAGTGTGTTCCGATTGTAAAAGAAACAAAAAACAGACATGGGGCCTCTACGCTGTTGGATTTGGCCCCTGGTGGCCCCTGGCTCCCTGAGGGCCACAGGGCGGGCAGAGGTACAGTGGCTCCTGACTCTTCAGTAGTAATGACGCAAGTGCTTGGCTGGGTCTGAGCAGATGCCTGGCTCAGCTCGGCCTTCTGCTGGTTCTGCTCAATCATCACTTTCTTCAGTCTCTGTCTGTACAATGGGTTTGGTGCGCCTGAGTCAATTCTCTTTGACGAGGCAATTAAACCCCGAAATAATTCTATTTAGACAAAATGTCCTGAGACAACTGAAGCCTCAGAACCAGTAGGAGGCGCCGCTGGGAAAGGCCCAGGCCAGATCAGCAGGACTCAGGCCTGGGTCTGGGTCTGGTCTAGGACTGGGTCTGGGTCTGGTCGAGGACTGGGTCTGGGTCTGGGGTCTGGGGTCTGGGGTGTGGGGTCTGGGGTCTGGGTCAGTTGCAGTCTGATCTGGTCTGCTCTAGCACAGATATGGCCTCCTGTTGTCAGGTGAGTTCCCTGTTGTCACTGGGAGGATATTGTGGGCCGAGCCGGCTTTAGGACTGGACTTAAATAAGACATATATTACACTATCTTCATTAAATAAAAAAGATTCCACATAAACAATAGTCTCATTTACATTCATGTCAACCTGAAGTCACAGATTTACAAAGAACAGCTGAGCTTTTATGGGTCAATTCTTCAATAAATAAAATGATACTTTCTGTTGAAATACAAATAAAAAATAATTCAAGAACATTGGCAGCAGTGCGTCTGTACGTGCCAGGTAGTATCGCTCTCTCTCATTGGTCAACACTACATGAGGTCATCAGCGTGTGACCTGTCATTTTAATTTTACAGTAGAGTCTCAGCACTGCAGGAGTGAGTGAAGATACAGCAGAGCCTTTGCAGTGTCTTCAGTCACTCCCAGGTTAGTCCTGCCTGATGTACCCTGAAAAGGCTCCACTATCTGGGCCCCGGGGCGCAGGAGGGACAGGGGGTCAACAGAGCAAATGAAAGCCCCAACAGCAGGCTGTGGTCTGTCAGCCTTGTTGCACAGTACACAAGACACCAGACAGAACCAGCAGAACAAAACATCCCCACAATGAAACCCCAGCACATGAGTAATAAAACAGTATGTACATTTTACACTTTTTTCTTGTTTTTTTATATAGATATCTCCCTCCTCTGCCTCCTCGGGTTCAGCAAATATGCTTTTTTTTTTTTTTTAAGAATACTGAAAATTTGCTGAAGAAAAGAGCACAAAGCATTCCTTCCAACATTCTTTATAAACTCCTCCTCCAAGCCCCCGCTCCTTTTGGGATTGGCTGTGAGCTTTAGCCCACTTTCTGCGGGTTGGTGGCCCGGACACCCTGCTCGTACGTGATCCTTTGGCTGATCAGGTACTGTGCTGCCTGTGTGGCGGCCTGGGACCCTGTGATGGTCACCTTCCTGTTGCGGGTCCCAGGGATGAACTCGCCCTTTTTGGAGATCTGGATCCTGGCTCCAGTCAGCTCCTGGTACTCCACCAAGGTCTTCCCCCCCTTACCCAGAATAGCTCCCACCAAGTTTTCTGGGACAGCGATCTCCACCACCTCCTTAGCACCTTCAGCTAGCTTCTCAGTGGCCAGCAGAGATGATGCCACCAGAGGTGAGGCAGCACTCAAGTATCCATTCGTGGCCCCTGTAGCGGCGGCGAGGGATCCCAAAGAGAAGCCACCCAGGCTGGCTGCAGGGTGGGCTGCGCTAGTAGAAGCATCGCTAGCATAGGATGCAAGTAGGTTAGCTGCAGCTGCTGCTGCAGGGTTAGCATTAGCGGCCACAGCGGCGAGCACGCCTGAGGCGGCGGCCGGGTTGAGCCCTAGACCCAGAGAGTTGGTGTTGTAGCCGTAGCTGGCTAAAGTGTTCAAAGCGGACGTGATGGCCAGCAGGTCGTTTCCTGACAGACTGGACATAGTGGTGGGGAAGGCCCCGACACCTGCGAGCCCGGCCTGCCCCAGCAGAGAGGAGGCAGTGGCAGCGGCGGCGGCAGCTGCAGCGGGCATTACCTCAGTGGAGTTAGCATAAGGGGACCCCGTGGGGTTGGAGTTGGCCACTGGCCCTGTGATGTTAGAGTAGGAAATGTTGAGACAAGAAGAGCTCTGAGGGTCCTCCTGGATCTTCTGCACAATAATCTCTACAGCTTTCCGGTTCTGCTCGGGCTCCCCGCTGATGGTCACCACGCGCTCCTGCAGGTTGATGCCTTCTGGCTTCTGGGACAGCTGCACCCAGGCCCCGGACTGTTCCATCACCGCTTTGACTGTAGCTCCGCCCTTCCCAATAATCAAGCCTGCTGTGCTGTTTGGAACGATGAGCTTGGCCTGGAAACAGAGGAGCAGACGTAGAGTTAAGGACAATGCCGCCTGAAGAAACATCTCAGTGCTGTGACTAATGGCACAATCACTAGAACCACACACACTGACTGACACCACAATCCCCGGAGAACCAGGGGCAGTGGAAGCTCAGTCGTGCACGGCTCGACTAGCAGATGTGTCTTGAAAAATATAATATAAAAATAAAAGAAAATATATCAAATGTATTATTGGTGTAGTTGTGGCACCCTGTGAAACTCTTTTTGCAATCTGTTGGACAGTCTGCTACAACTGATGCTTCAGGCTGGTGGAGCTGGGCTGGGTGCATCAGGGTTAATGGAGTAGGATGAAGAGGGGTTGGGTGGAGCAGGGGTTGGGTGGAGCTGGGTATGGGTGGTGTTGGGTGCAGTGGGTATGGGTGGTGTTGGGTGCAGTGGGTATGGGTGGTGTTGGGTGGTGTTGGGTGCAGTGGGTATGGGTGGTGTTGGGTGGTGTTGGGTGCAGCGGGGTATGGGTGGTGTTGGGTGCAGTGGGTATGGGTGGTGTTGGGTGCAGCGGGGTATGGGTGGTGTTGGGTGCAGTGGGGATGGGTGGTGTTGGGTGGTGTTGGGTGCAGCGGGGTATGGGTGGTGTTGGGTGCAGTGGGTATGGGTGGTGTTGGGTGGTGTTGGGTGCAGCGGGGTATGGGTGGTGTTGGGTGCAGTGGGGATGGGTGGTGCGCGCTGTGCTGTGGCTTGAGTGAGGCGAGCTGCAGAGGTTTGATGAGGCAGAGGTGCAGGAGAGTGGGAGGCCACAGAGACTCCATGCACGGGGTCAGCGTTACCATGACAACCACTGCAGCACTCAGGCAATAAAACAGTATTCCACAGAGCAGCCGTACTGTACCTCACCACAGAGGCACACGCAGCTATGGCCACAAATCATCCTCTATCATTTCAACCCTGTGCTCCACCTGATTTGTTCTGTTTCAAAATGTGACAAACAGAATGAGCTCATGTTAAACCGAATTGATCCATGTACCATTTTTTCTTTTGAATTTCAGTGAAAAACAAAAACAGTAAAATGGGAAAACAATTTGACAGAATTTATTTCATTATTCCATGTCCACAATGACATGTCGCTTTAAAAGAAGAGGACAAAACTACAGTGATTTTTCAGGTAAGTCTTTCTAGCAAAAGAACTTCTGGGGCAAATAATAAATAAATATATAAAGACGTGGGCAAAATTGTTGGTACCCCTCTGGTAATGAAAGAAAAATCAACAATGGTCACTCAGATAACTTGAAACTGATAAAAGCAATGGTAAATTAAAAAAACAAATAAATACTGAAAATGGTCCCCCGCAAATCAAACATTGTTTTTCACCTGTGGTTCAACAGAATTACTGGCCTGAACAAAAATGATGGTTCCCTTAACTTAATATTTTGTTGCACAACCTTTTGATGCAAACTCTGCAAACGAATGATTTCTGTAACTGTCAATGAGACTTCTGCTCTGGTCAACTGGTATTTTGACCTACTCCACGAGAACAAACTGCTCTAGTTGTCTCAGGTTTGAAGGGTTCCTTCTCCAGACAGTATGTTTCAGCTCCTTTCACAGATGTTCAGTAGAATTGAGATCTGGGCTCACAGAAGAACACTCCAGAACAGTCCAATGTTTTGTTCTTAGTCATTCTTGTGTGTTTTTAATTGTGTGTTTTAGGTCATTATCCTGTTGGAAGAACCATGGCCTACAACTCAGACCAAGCTTTCTGACACTAGGCAACACGTTTCCTTCCAAAATACCTTGATAGTTTTGAGATTTCGTTGTACCTTGCACAGATTCAAGACACCCTGTGCCAGATGTAGCAAAACAGCCCCAGAACAAAACCCCAGAAAGTCTCCTCCATGTTTCACAGTAGGGACAGTTTGGTTCAAACACAGATGGATGGTGTGATCTGACACTGATGTACTTTGCCCTTCAAGTTCACATTTAATTTCTTTGGAGGTTGTTCTGGGCTCTTTGGTTTCATTTGTATGATCCATCTCTTCATTTTGTCATCAGTGTTCCTCTTTTGCTGCATCCAGGGAGGTTGGCTTCAGTCCTGTGAACCTTAAACTTGTGAAGAACATGTGTAACTGTAATCACAGGAACATCAAGCTGCTTGGAGATGGTCTTATTGTCTTTATCTTTAACCTGCTTGTCTATCATTTTCTTTCTAGTCTCCTGACACAGTTCTCTTCTTCTCTTTCTCTGCTCCATGTTCAGTGTTGTGTCCATCATGTCTCCAAACAGCACAATGACACATGTCCCCCTTTAAACAGACAGACTGACTGAGGACAAGTTTGAAGAACCTGTGATGCAGATTAGAGACACACCAAAGTTTAACATGTCCCTATTGTCCAAATATTTACAATCTTTTCTAGGGGAACATCATTTTTGTCCAGGCCAGTTTCATTAGTTTGTTTTTGTTTGTTGTTTGTTTGTTTGTTTTACCAACAATTTTGAACACACACACACAAACATATATATGTGTGTGTTTTGGGGTTTTTTTACACAAAAAAACTGTTTTCCCATTTTACTGTTTTTTGTTCTTAACTGAAATTCAAAAGAAAGAATAGTACAAGAACCATAAATATTTCTAATAGTTCATCAGCACTTTTCACAACTTTCAGAGTTTTGCTGTTACAATAAGGCTAACAACAACTAGCATGCTAACAGTACATTGTGATTATTGGATGATAAAGTGTTTTAGAATGAGTTGCAGACAGTTCACAGCAGACATATTTTGACCTCAATGCTGCTCACACAATTAAGGTGACCAAAAACTGGGACACTCAGTTTTGGGCGGTTGATAATAATAGAATTGTGAAACGAGTGCATAATTAAGGAGAATTTTTCTGCACTCGGCCCATTCTTGACTAATATGTGAGTCAGTTTAGTCTTAGTCTTTGTGTTTTGGTCATTTAAGCAGCTTTTCTGTATTTTACCTCAACAAATGTCAATGTATGCCTTTTTTTACTGTGGGCAGGTATTAAATTGGTCCAAAAAGAGACACCTGGGACATGTCTTGTATAAAACTGGGACAAATCAGTGGTTTTGTATAAATCAGCTGGGACAGGGGACACAGGGCTTAAAACTGGGACTATGCTGGGGAAACAGGGACATTTGGACACCGTATATCGGGGTCTCTGTATCTGTACACATTTTTCTACTTTGAAAGTGGAAGTCAGTGTGCAGTTAAAATGCTAAACTGGTCTCGGTCTCGGAGAGTTGTGAAAGTGCTTCTAAACTCATCATGGTGAATAATCAGTATCCTCAGAATGATAAGTGAGGAATAACTTTAGATCAATGCAAAGCATTTAAAATAAACTAGTTCTAAAAACAGAATCCTTCTTGTGCCATCAACACCAAAAACTGTGAGATGCTCTTGAAGCACCAGACTGACCGACTGACCCCAGTGCGGCTACAGTCCTGTACATTTCTGTTGTGTATGGATACTGTGTGTACTCAGAACAGTAACTGTTTGGTGTGTATTATGTTCCAGAGTTTTATCCCTGTGCTATTGTCACATCGTCATGGCGGTCGAGCCAGGGAGCATCCATCCCATAATTCTTTGCGCCTTTGAGTGGTTGCACAGAGGATTATGTGACAGCTGGCCTGACCTCACCCCTCACTGTCTCTGCTACATGAAGATGACATGCTCCTCCTGCTACTGCTACTATAACAAGTAGCACTACTACTGCTGCTACTACTACTGCTGCTCAGGTTACTACTCCTACAACTACTAACTACTACTACTACTACTACTGCTTTGCCACAACTGCTACCACTACTACTCCTACTCCTACTACTAATCCTACTACTGCACAACTTTTTTTTGTCCACTTAACAGAATTTCTCCTTTTCCATAGATCCTCCCTGGACAATTGATTTTACATTCACTGTTTTTATTTGAGTTTATTTGTGCATTTATAGATTTTTATTTTTATTTTTTTTCTAAGAGTGAAAACTAGAGCAAGAAATATTTATCTGTGGTAGATGAGTTTCAGTGCAGCATCAGTATTGGATGGTGACTGCGTTGCTTTCCATAGTATTAACTGTCGGCTACTACAGTGCCTCCCCCGGGGGGAGGAGCTGTACTTTTACCTCAGCGTTACACTGAGGGTTTTTTCATGGACACTTGCCATTTGAATTCCTGTTGTGGCTTTCTCTCCACTGCCCACAGGAGGCACGATCGTCCACAATCTTACCATTTCTTGTGGAGCAGAAAATAACAGGAAGTAGGAAACAGGTGTTGGTGTCAGGGTGAAAGGTGACAGGAAGTGAGTGGGTGCGGACAGGAAATGGCTGTAGTTGAGTTTGTGGACAGGACTCGTGCTGGCCCTTTGCAGACAGTGCACACAGCTGCTCCTCTGAACACAGAGGCTCGGATAAAGCGTCTTTTGGCACAGAACTGGTCTGTGTTTGGTGACTTCTGTGGGAAAGGCCCACAGCTTTCCCTTTCACTCTCATGTCCTCACACAAGAGGCCTCAGTATTCCAGTATCTATAGTGAAGATTTGGGAATTTATACAGTCAGCGTAAATAAGTTGAGATTATGTGATAAATAATTGTTTGTTTTGGGTTTTTTTGTTTTTGTTTTTTTAAACACAAATTAAAAATAAAAAAGGTGCTGGGTTGTCATGCCTAGCTGTGTGGCTAGGCTATGGTAAAGGTATAATGTAAATCCAAAATGTCAATGTCTGTAATATTTCCTTCCATCTAAATCCTACAATAAAGCACTTGACACAAAGGGGAGCTCCCAGACTGGCTTTATAGAATAATCAAAATGTCCGGTCTGGGATCTGGTCCCTGCTGTGAATGCTGTCGGAGGGGGAGTGCATGTGTACAGTGTGTGTAAAGTGTGTCCAGTGCTTTTCTGCAGTCTGATGCTGGTGTCTGACCTGTTTGACGCGGTCTGGGTTCACGGTGGTCTGGGGCTGGAGGATGCTCACTGGTTCACTCTTCTGGCTGCTCTGGGGCATCTCTCGTACCTTCTCTGCGATGAAGTCGTGCACGCTGTTCAATGCCTCCACTGTGCCCTGGATGAGACACACGCGCTCTGTGGTCCCTGGAACACACACACACACAGAGGTCAGGGGTCAGGAGCAGGCTCTCTCCTCCTCATGGCCTCACCACACTCAGGTCTGACACTTGAGCAGGCTGCTTCTGAAGCACATGTGTCCTGTGTTCTTGTGGATATCACGACCATTAAAAAGTCTGCATAATAAAACATGGTGTAAATACATACAGAAATGTGTAGTACAGATGTGATGGGCCCTGTGTCCCTGCACACAGCAGCACAGTGCAGAGCAAGAGCCACGCTTCACTAGCAGCTGCAGTGTTGGATTTACTTCATATTCACAGAGAAATGATCCTCAAGAGGAAAGGTACACTCTAGGGACTACTGGTATCGAAAGATTAATATATCAATACTGTATTGTTATACAAATATCTGTACTAATTAACATAAGTAAATTTTAAGGGTGGCATCAATTTAAACATGTTATTCTACCCTGAAGTCGGTGATCATTTCTCTCACCAGACCCAGACAAGCACCCCTCAGGTCTGCACACTGACACCCCCGAGCACCCCTCAGGTCTGCACACTGACACCCCCGAGCACCCCTCAGGTTTGCACACTGACACCTCCGAGCACCCCTCAGGTCTGCACACTGACACCCCCGAGCACCCCTCAGGTCTGCACACTGACACCCCCGAGCACCCCTCAGGTCTGCACACTGACACCCCCGAGCACCCCTCAGGTTTGCACACTGACACCTCCGAGCACCCCTCAGGTTTGCACACTGACACCTCCGAGCACCCCTCAGGTCTGCACACTGACACCCGCGAGCACCCCTCAGGTTTGCACACTGACACCCGCGAGCACTCCTCAGCGTGTTCATGTATGCCAGGGACAATCAGGGACAGTTTGATTTAAACAGATTTATCAAAATACTGTGAACCTGGAAACTACGACTGAGGTGTGACACATGTGGAGGAGTCAGATACCTGCTGCATGTCATCACATGCGCATGATTAGTTTTGGTCGCTATGTTTAAGTGAAACCTGCTGGAGGCTCAGTGCGTTTACTTGCTGCAGAGAAAATCAGATGCTCAGTGTGATGAAATTAGGCTTCTCTAGATCTGCTTTTGTACCAAAATGACAGCACGACACTGCCCAATCTATGTCCTACCTACGTGTATCACAGATTAAGAAAATAACATTGGAGAACGAAGTAGAGAGTTGTGGGCGTGTACTGGTGCTGGTGAAAGCGGGGATCAGCAAAATGGTGTCTTGAAAATAAGAGATTAAAGATGACTCAAACATGAATCACTCCAAATACAACTTCAGAAGGTCAGTGAGAAGAAAACTACTATAACATGGTGAAAAGATCAGAAATGTTCATTTTGCATCATAGTTCTGATTTAATGATTATAGATGAGTTTTAGCGCTAATAGTAGATGCCCCTGAACACCTCATGGCCTCTCATTCACAAAATATTCAGTGGTGTGCCCTGCTGTAGGCTGGAGAAAGGGCCAAAGACCATTTGACTTTGGTTTTTAGCACACTCACAGTTCTGTGTGCGTGTGAACACAGTGAGTGAGAGCATAAAACAATAGCAGGATTTAAGGTGCCGTCTCTGTCCTGTCCTGGTTGGCCTGAGCCTGGTTGACCTTTGATGGGATTGTGTGAGCGGGGACCACAGGGACTATCTGTTAATCTGTCTCATATTTGAGATGATTGTGTGTGAGGAGCATGAGGCTGTGCGGTGTCCACGGCTCACACTATAAATAGGCGCAGTCTCCCTGCCGCACACCCTAACCCTAACCTCCCATCAGAGCCAAACATGTGTCTCTATTTTTACAGTGCGCTGACAGGTTAAGCTAACAAAGTAGCAGCATTAGCATTTGTGTTTGAGCTGAGAACCCGAAAAGTGGGCCTCGCCTCCTGACAGCTGGTGGCCTCTGGGTAATCTGCCGTGGTCCAATCAGGGGAGGGGATTAGCGAGCCATTGTCTCTGTAGAGGGAAAGAGTGAGGGACAGGGGGGGAGAGAGGGACAGAAGGAGGGAGAGAGAGAGTGGGGGAGCGTGAAAGAGGGAGGGGCCTGTCACAGCTGTGCTCTGTGTCACAGAGGCTGTCACTCAGCTTTCTCTCCACTGGAAACACTCGGGATGAGCACACGTTAGTCACCACAGGCCGTGCCAAGGCCTGAGCTCGTCTCATCTCAGAAGCTAAACACGGTCGGACCTGGTTAGTACTTGGATTGGTGACTGCTGGAAACAGGTGCCACTGAGGGGAAGATTGGCAGCCTCGCTTCTGTCAGTCTGCCCCAGGGCAGCTCTGGGTACAATCACTTACCACCAGTGTGGAGTAACGAGCTGCATTATTGTTCTGTTGTGTGGAGAAGTGCTTTCGCTGTAATAAGAGGAAGAGCTCTGAGCTCTGACCCTCTGTCCACACAAACACACTGTGTGGACCAACACGGCCAGACTTTCTTAAAGGGACATACAGGGACACATTAGACAAGAATCTGCTGAAGCCGCCCACGCGAGTGCATACACCAGTGCAGCTGGGGACAGGGTCTGACAGGAGGCACCCTCATCACTCTGTGAGCACCCAGCACCCATGGGTGTCAGAGCATCAGGGGTGACACACAAAACAGTGCTACACATCACCTCCATATGACCCAAACAAGCACTATACAGCAGTGACCAGAGAAGCACTGCATGGACCTTCACCACACTGGAAGGATGTGACAATCATAATGCATGTGTCTTCAGAAATGTCCCTGATGTCTTCTCTCTGACAGGGGGACAGGCAGGGGGCAGAGGCAGCTGCAGAGACTGAGCTGATGTCATTCAGGAGGGCTTGGACCTGAGCCTGAGGAGCTGTGGGTCTCCAGTGCCAGTGAGGAGGGAGGAGCACATGATTGTCTGAGGGACATTCTTGTGTTTTGTCCCATCACAGTTGTGCAGAGTTTAGTGGTGATGTCACAGGTCAAAGCTCTCCCTCTGCGCCCTGTGCTCTCTCACTCCTCGCTCCTGCATCAGTTCAACAGCTGATACCAGAGCTCAGAACAGCCCTTTATGTTTATGTATAGTCTGCAGCCAAATGATCCAGAGAAGCTGTTTATGAACCATTCACTGTGGACACAACAAACTGTAGAACTCTCACAAACCACACTCACATCCACATATACTGCAGAGTTAGTTAGCTAGTTTTCCTTAAGTAGATGGCTTTACAAAAACAGACTTCATTTTCAGATGAAAAACTTACAGTACAGACAATTTTCCATTGTCTCTAGATCTGTCTGTACTAAACATTATTGGCCTATTGTTATTGTCATGTGAAATCCAGCAGTATGACAGCACCTGTCCTGAGCGTACTTCCCCTGCAAAAGCACAATTTGACGTGACAACACTTTGAAACCGTGTTGATAAAGATAAACACTGCAGAGTCACAAACACTAGACTCTATTTCCAGTCCACAGTCAGTACACACCCTGGACCTGGCCACTTGCATACATCAGCAGTCAACAGTCTAAATGTCCAATCCAAGCCATAAAAATGTGTCACGTGTGTAACATGAAATAAATGTGCTGGAACATTTAATTTATTTATTTGTAAATTATAACAATAAATACTCTATCAAAACAGCAGTCAGTTTTGAAACATTTTGTTTTTTGAGCTCAGTTTTTAACATCATATCATGGAATTTTAACCAAGTAAGAATGCAGCATGTGCAATTCAAAGGGACTGTTGGATTGTGTTAAATGAGCTGTTGTTGTTTTTCCCGTATCCATGGAGACCGTGCAAGAGGCAGGCTAAGGAGCTAGCTGTGGACATTTGAGATGCTACAGGCTTTTTACACCATATGTGGCAGCAAATGTGTCAGAAGATCTTCCAGAATAAACACTTTGAGGGAATAGACCATTTCATCACCAACTGGAACACCAGAGCAGAGTAAGAGCCTTTCCTGTTGTGTTCACCTGATTCTCCCTGGACAGTTTTGTCTCTTCCTCTGTCTCTTCCCAAACTGTCCTGACACAGATCTGCTGACCCTCCCTGACCAGTCCTTCTGTTAAACTGACCTCACACCTTTAACTGAGACACACAGGACACTGAGTCATGAGGCGTAAATGCTGCAGAAACATCAACTGCAACAGTTTACTGCAGCAAAACCTGAAGTTCCCTCAGGATCAATAAAGTCTCTCTCTGCGTATCGATACTGTATCACCAAATGTAATTTCACCTAACAGTTCCTTTCATTCAGTGGCAATAAATCAAATCAATCAGTTGCAAAGCAAGGAGTACACGTGTGGAGTATATTTGAAGTGTATATGTGTGGAGTACATGAGTGGAGTACATTTGAAGAGTACATGTGTGGAGTACATTTGAAGAGTACATGAGTGGAGTACATTTGAAGAGTACATGAGTGGAGTACATTTGAAGAGTACATGAGTGGAGTACATTTGAAGAGTACATGTGTGGAGTACATTTGAAGAGTACATGTGTGGAGTACATGAGTGGAGTACATTTGAAGAGTACATGTGTGGAGTACATGCGTGGAGTACATTTGAAGAGTACATGTGTGGAGTACATTTGAAGAGTACATGTGTGGAGTACATTTGTGTGGAGTACATGTGTGGAGTACATTTGAAGAGTACATGTGCGGAGTACATTTGAAGAGTACATGTGCGGAGTACATTTGAAGAGTACATGTGCGGAGTACATTTGAAGAGTACATGTGCGGAGTACATTTGAAGAGTACATGTGCGGAGTACATTTGAAGAGTACATGTGCGGAGTACATTTGAAGAGTACATGTGCGGAGTACATTTGAAGAGTACATGTGTGGAGTACATGTGTGGAGTACATTTGAAGAGTACATGTGCGGAGTACATTTGAAGAGTACATGTGTGGAGTACATGTGTGGAGTACATTTGAAGAGTACATGTGTGGAGTACATTTGAAGAGTACATGTGCGGAGTACATTTGAAGAGTACATGTGCGGAGTACATTTGAAGAGTACATGTGTGGAGTACATTTGAAGAGTACATGTGTGGAGT